TTTGCTGCATTCAATGAGAAGCCATCAGTGACACCTCTTTCCACGCAAACAAGGCCCTTTCCCTCAGACATATTTATAAACTGCAACTTACATAGTGTAACTTTACCCAGAGGTGTAATAGCACCCCTTTCATAACACAAGAATAGGTATTAGTACTGCTATAAATTATTTATAAAGGCAGGTCAGAAGCTAAAACAATAGCTTTTAAAACCCCTGTGCTTCTGCCCACACAACTGTGTCACTGTCGGCAGATCTTTCGTTTATGCAGCACCAAGTTCACCTTGTGCCAAGTGTCAGCGGGAGGCCAGCCTGTAACCCACCCTAGAAGCCCAGAGTGGATCTCAGCACAAGGAAAAGCTAAATTTCCCCTAACGTGTCAGAGGACAAGTTATCAACCACTGCACTACTCATAGGCAAATGCCCTCCCACATAAAAACATGAAGCACCATTACAGAAGTCATTTCCCTAGTATGTGTATGTCCTATTATCATATCTCAGCACATGGTAGAGTTGTGTCCTGAACCGGCAGGTGCCCAGCATAACCTGCTCACTCCCGATGTAGCACTGCACCAGCCTCCCCAGCATTCAAGCACAAGCTGGTTCAGGAAATACAAACCACTTTCCCACTGCCACAGCAAGCTACAAAGCTTTGTATGCAAACAGCAACAGACCCGAGAAGATAACCTTCTCCCTCTACATGTTTGGCCAACTTTACAAGCTGGTGCAGAAAAGCTGCCCATTGTGGCGCTTTCCTGTCCCCAGGTCACAAGAAGGAAGCCATATTTTCACCTCTCCCAGTTCAGGTACAGAGTGCATCCACAGGAACCTTGAGGTATTCCACACTAAGTGCTTCCTTCCTGGGCATAAGCATTGGCGTCTCAGTCTTCCTAAAGACAAGATTGAGTATAAGGTGTCCCCAAGCTGTTATTTAAAAATAAAAATTAGATTGATTGCTTGTCCAACCTATGTTCTAATGCCACCCTCCAAGCAAATTTATTTTTAAAGCTTGCTATTGTTAGCATGTGTTATTGAGGTTTGCAAAGTGCAATTTCCTTATTAAAACCGCACCCTGTGGAGTTTAGTATTAGGGAGAATTTATCAGGGTTGTCATTTTAAGAAAGGGAGATTAACAGAGAGTTGAAGCCAGTCAGCAAATATGCACTCTGACTCAGAAAATATTGCCTGAAAATTAAAAAAAATGCCTTTACATTAAGAAAACTTAAAACATAAAAGCTGTGTTTGTCAGAGGGCACATAACCCTTACTAATCTCTTTCAAGAACAACACAGATAAACAACAAATAAGCTTCCCTCTATTGTTCTTTTCAAACTGAATGTCTACTCTCTGCGACTCACTATCTGCATCAAAGGTTGAGACATACAGAGTAAAGGTGACTAGAACTAATCCTAATTAACCCTGCAGATATTCGTAAAATGGGATAATACCAAACAGGAAGAGTTTATTTGCAGAAAAATATGAAAAGTATCTTGGAGCTGTGAAATAATCCAAACTGTAACAGTTAACGCACTCCCTTGGGAGCAGGAAACTCAAGCTGAACTAGGCCTCCGATCTGCATTTAGGGAGCATTTCTCCAAGCCAAATTTCATAAGAAGCCAGGACAAAAAATTGGCCATTTTTATGTCTTCCTCAGGGAACACTGTCAAGATAAAGTTCTCCCCAACGCTAATACGTAACGAAGCAGTACAGTACAGAAGCTAAACTCACCCTGTCTGACCAACCCGTAATTCAGAACTGGTTTGCAGAATGACGACAGCTTCTGGTCATCAACTGCTGAAGGTAATTTGATGTGTGCAATTACATCTGTTATTTTCCCTTACAGCCAAGCTGCTGCTCTCATCAATCCCTTCCACTGTAAATTCACACTGGGAATCAGGTTTCTGCCTCTTCTCCAACTTGTGTCGATGAGCAGAAGTTCAACGTCTATAGCGTTAACCTGCTGCGTTGTCAGCAGGTATGGTGCAAAGCTCTGGTGCACTTACCATACTCACAGTGGAGGAGTAGCAGCTCACACAGCTACACATCATCAACTACTAAACCACAGCTATTCCATGTGGCTGTTTTGTGGTACGAACACCATTGCTTGAGCAGGTCTGCCTTGATCAAATGGACAGACAGGCGTACCCAACTCAAGCTAAACTACTGCAGCGAGGGCAAGTCATTAATTACAGTGCCTTCCTATAGGCACTGTGACTGCAGACATTGCACAAGGACAAGTGAGAATATTACATTCCTGTCAGAAAAGAGATGGGAAGAAAAGAGAGGAGAAGAAATCACCACTGCTATTTGAAATTTAAAAAGCTCTCCCAAAGCAGCATAGAGTCAGAGAAAAAACGTTTTCCCCCAGTTTTGTGAAATCACTGATCTCCACCTTTGACATCAAAATGAAACTGACTGAACTTGCAAGATCTAAAGGCAGCTGCTGCTTTCATTCTCTCTTAAGTCAAACCATGCCTGCTTTATTTCACTATTTGGCTGGTCCAGTGATTCATGCTGTGACAGCCGCTCAAAGCAACATGATGCTTATGACCATTTCAAAGCACATACCTCTTCATATTCTCCAAGGCTAAGCTTCATGGTCTCAAGCTGTAGGAAGAGTTTCTGTGACTTTCAACAGACCTACGTACAGATTCAGCTTACGTTATTTATTAGTCAGAACACTGATGCCCTAAAGAGGCACTGTCCTACATGTACACTTTATAAAAACACATCAGTGTAGACTAATTGGTCTACAGCAGTTCTTCCAAATACCTTTTTTGATTAAACATCATTTTCCCCTTTACAAATATCAAGCATATAAGGATGACTCATATCAAACACTAGCTTGCAGATCTTTGCTGTAAATCTAAAAAACTGTTTTTAACCTAGAGCTAGTTTGTTCTGAGCGTGACTGGGCAAAAGTCTCACAGCATGACCTTTTCCAGTGGAGTCAACACTGAAGAGACTAGATCAACAACCCTGAATAAACAGCTATCTACCCAGCCAAGTGCAAGTATGCAGTATCACCCATTCTTACGCTAGGGACTGCATTGGCCAGCCCCGGGCATAGACTAGACTAGCTTCAGGGCAGCCTAAAATGTTTAGAAACTCTAACGTGGTTGATGTCTCTGCACCAAGTAGCAAAAGCAAGAATGGGGCAGGGAGCACTGCATTAAAATAAATAAATAAATAAATAACAGTTTACCTATACATAGGTGTTCCTCTGACCTCACAAAAAATTCCCATATGGGCTAAGCATTTCCCACATACAGTGGCTTTATACATATACTGTGCTACCAGGCAAAAGGTAAAGACCTAGCCATATTTATGTCACTGTTCATGCATACAAACGAATACTACTTGCAAACTCATTACTTCAGGGACATATACGCAAACAGCACAAATCAAAGTTTTGAGCAGGAACCTCTTCCCTTTAATAGAGAAATATTAAAACCATCAACCCCCAATTTATTTGGTCCCACAAAAACTGAGGGCGCTTTGAACTCTGAATCAAAGCATGGTTAACGAGAGTCTTTGAAAAGTTACAAGTCAGAGCCATTAATGAGAGAGAAATTATCCCTGACAGTCTTAAATTTTGGGAGGTGTGGTAGATTTCTCTCTCAATTTCTCCTTAAAAAGTTCATTAACAATGTAAACAATGCTTTACCCTTTTCAGGTTCCTATTAGCAAACAGAAAACCTGATAGAAATCATTTTGCTGCATTTCTGCCACACAGTCCTTAAACACTGTCTTGTCTTAGGAGGGCCATTTTCCTCAGCATAAAACTATGTGTAACTCTCTCGACATTGACAGAGATATCAATAATCTTTAGCTAGTAACCTTCACGGGCCTCAAAAGGCACGTACTTTGCAGTAAGTTTGTTTTCAGAAATGTTGAGTTTCAGAAAGGCCAAGTGTGTCTGGAACACTGACACATTTAACAGTACACACCCATCTGCTAATCACAGGTACACTGTTACTTTTTTTCAAAGCTACTGGGGAGATACCGCTCCGCCGTTAGTTGAGAGCGATTATGTGGAAGTCGGAAGTTGCGCTAGAATGAATCAGTGCTGAAACCGCACTCAGAGCGGTTTGGAAACAAATATAAATATATAAGCAGACTAATATTATCAAGAAAATCACATATGCTTTGACAATTTACTGTTGACAGATTCAGAATCTACTAACCTTCTACTAATTGAGAAGAAAGAATTTAGGTCCCATTAATTCCGCTGGAATTATCTCTGTCATCAAGTATCAATGAATAGCCACGTCTCCCATGAGTTACAAAGATCTGGTCTTTCTACAGGTAATATCCTGATCTTACACTTCCCTCTCCCCCACAAAAATCAGAATAATTGAAGCTCCTTCCCGCAATGTTTACAGGCTACATGATATATTCTATATTATAGATGTATGTGCTCATACTGCATATACTCCATAAACATGCAGTTTAAGGTCTGAAATGCCTACTCAAAGAAGTAATAGTTTGTCTACAACTGGCTTGAGAAAGTAGCATATTGAATCACAGTTTTTTTCTGTTTTTACTACTGTGATTTCCTAGTCCCAACTAGTATTGGGATGTGGCATACTTACCAAGAAAAAACCAAAATCATGCACGATAAAAACATAAGCACAATTATTCCAAGTGACTTGTTAACACTATAAGCTTACAGATACTGCATCTCAACAAGTTTAGCAATTCTTTGGTCAGTATTTCTCATTTGGCTTAATGTAACATGATGGACAGGCAAAAGAGATGCAGTCTTCTTTCATCATCCACGTCAAGCAAGTATCCCAGCATGAAAGAGTAAAAAATTTCAGCAAAACAGCACATTTCAACAACACATATACCTCTTCACACAAATGCAAGTGCCGTAGGAAGTAGTAATGATCTTTATATAAATTTCAAAACTGTTTCAGAACTTTTCTGACAACTCCTTCCACATAAAATATGAAAACAGCTTAAAAAGAAAAAAAAAAAAAAAAAAAAAAGAAATCTTACGGCTTGAAATGCAGTAAGCCAGCCTGCAGTTGATCCTCCTGAACAGTTGCTTGTTGATTGGCCAAAGCATAAGTGTAAAGAGTTGAATCAAGTTAATGATCAGTCCTGACACTATAAATATGTAGCAGATCAGAAGGTGGCAAATGAACTGAGACTTCAGAAAGCCAACGATGTCCATGATTTGCTGAGAAAGCAAGAGGGTACCTTCAGACCCCAAATTCAGAAGACAACCTGCAAAACCAAACAGTATCAGCTGTTACAAAAAGCATTTATTTTAAAACAGATTGTTAATACAGACTGGCTGCTTTCCACTTAAATAGCTGAATGAAACTTAACTCTTCAAGGAAAAGGTTTTATTCCAATATTTGCAAGAGTAAGCACGGAAAGAGAACACCGTATTTCCAAATTAACTTACATTTGGCTTTGAAAACAAGTTTTCACTTTTCAATTCTAATTCAGCAAAACACGTAATCCATGGAATGGAGTAAAATGCCCACAACAGTCCTCTATCAGGTCTTTATTGATAAAATACAAGTAAAACAACCCACTAATATTTTGAGTTGAACGTCCCATACTTCTTAAGACATACACTGTAGCCTCTGATATCCTAAGAGAGCAGCTGTAAAGTTCATAGTCTTACAGGCATACAGTTTTAACAAAGGTTCACTAAGTATTCTTCTGAAAGCATTAATGAAGCCTTATGCAAAGAATCCACAAAACTTTAGGGACAAGTATCACACCCATTTAGGAACACTTTTATTACAGCCCAATCTGCTCTCCTCAATGCCACCTAAACATTTCAGATCTAAACCATATCTCCCATTCAAAATCTCATAAAACTCCCATAAACTGGGGGCCACAGAGCACCTTCCATACCACCGTACACCACTTCTTGTTAGAGATTCTGGACAACTTTACAAAGCTGTGTTGGGCAACACCCTGAAGAAGCCATTTCCAACTTTTACTCTAATCAAGACCAATTTACTTACTCACAGATACCTTACCAAATGATTTGTTTTGCTTATTTATACACACAAAAGATCAAGATGCTGCTTGCTGATTTATTTTTTTAAGTTACATTTGCCTAGTGATTGATATTGTCAGATTTCTGTTCAACCTTTTTAGGACAGAGTAGCAAGCTAGCGAGATCAGCTACAGTTGCGCAGGAATAGCAGGGGTACGAAAAAAATTTTCTTCCTTCACTTCATAATGAAAAAAAAAAATCCACTATACTGGTTTGACCCACTGGCTTCAGAGAATCCTGAAGCAAGTTCTTTAACACAATCAGGGTTTTAAACTAAGAAAAAAACCCACGCATTCAGCTATGTTCGTGGGGTCACTTTTCCTCAGTGTATGCCACCTCCACTTAAGAAACGCTCTTTAACTAAGGATGTAGCCACATAGCCACTCTAGCAAACGGAGAAGTAACTGTTTTTAGGCATTTGAATAGCTCTATTGAGTTTAAATAGTATTCCTCAACATGCTTAAAGTTTGAGGATATGCACGCAATCTGAAAGACTCTAGAGCAAGAGAAGTTCAGACATTTTCTGCCACATTATAAGAGAATATCAAGTTATTTCATTCTCAAACGGTTGTAAAAACACAGTCTTGTGTATGTTCACTTCATTCTCTATATAAAGTGAACGTAAGCTTTAGAGCTTTACATCAGAGCTTGTGCTTTCCTCTACGATTTGCTCCAGCTCTGCTCCCAAACCAAAAGGTAGCAGCAGCCCTTCAAATCTAGCTTTATTGGCTCGTTCCCTAGTTACATCCAAACACCAGTTGATTTTGGCTTGAGAAGAAAAGCTCGACTAAGCACAATGCACACAATTTGTTCAACCACTCCATGTAATTCTGTCAGCTATACCCCATAAGCCCAGAAAGGAAACGCTGATAGCAGCAGTAACTCATGACCCAGCAGTCTTCCAGAACAACTCCTCTCAGGAACTTTCGTGCAAGTTTTCCTTAAGAAAGGTCTGCATAATTTTGGAAAGGACCAATCCAATCTTAGCAGCCGACAGTCCAGAGGACACTGCCTATCAAATACCATACTGAACTCCCCTCCATACCCACCACCGCTAGTCCAATTGTTAGGAGAAAACATTAAGGCAAGATCTCTCAGCAAACACCACCAAAACATTTTGAATTTGGTAAAGAGGAGGTGGTGCTACGCTATTCCATTCCTAAACTATTTCTCTTCTCTAGCAGTAGGAGAATTTGCCTACAGAGAAAGTCTTGAGATAGCATTTTTGGAAGTTCCAATCATAAAGTAGTAACAAAACAGCAGCTGTCAGCATCTCAAGGAATTAACTGATTAAAAATATCTTTATGTCTATTCCTCTACTTGATACGAGACCTCGTTATATGAGGCACTGAGCCTAGGCCAGCGTCCCCACGTATCTGTTCTACTGCCCGTGCTTACCACAGCAAAGAGCACATACAAGAATTGCTGCATAGTGACTGGAAATTATTCAGCCAGGTATTCAACCACAAGGAAGAAGATGAAAAATATTAAGAAAGAGAATCTATGTTGCTGGCAATCCCAAGCCTATTATTAGCAGATAAATTGTGCCCTTTTTGCGTCACAGACTTTGTTCTCTTTATCTTGCTGTACTATTTCGTACCAAAGCAGACACCAATCTGTGAGGAATCACACAACAGGCCTGTGTTCCTCGTAGTAACTACTGTCGTCATACTTGTACAAAGCTTTTCCAGCTTTAACCAATCATTCTATTAAAGACACATTTCTGAAGGTGGCAGACAATTGGCATGGGCTTTGCCCAAAGACTTTGTTTTCACTGAAAGCTAAGTAGAACGAGACACATTGTCTAGTAGGAATCATTGTAGTGACTCACACCACAGCCCTCCGTTTCACGCTCTCAAGACAGAACCCCACACTTTAAAAAGCAAAAATAAGCTTTCAGATAAGTTTATAGTAAAAGATACAGGATTTCACTCACTTCCCTAATTCAGACTATTTTACTTCATCACGTAGCAGGGAGCAGATCACCTATTTAAGGGACAGACAACAGACTGGAAGCAATCAGAGGCTTGTAAGTGCATGGAAGAGACTGTACTGTGCCTGAAAGCCTAATGATTAGGTTTATCCTACTGTCCTTGGTTAAAACTGATTAAAAGCTTCTTGTGCCAGCCAGCTTGTTTAATTCCGTGTCACAGAATCACTCTAATCTATTGTAATTCCCAGAGATCAGTAAGGGACTGGATCAAAAAACACCCATGAAATAAAATGAAAGCAGTCTAGTTATAGTGGAAATCTGAAAATTCACTACTGGATATGATTAACAAAAATCTACTTTAGTAAGCAGTTGACCAAAAGATTTTGTGAGGAGGAAGAACTAACCCGAACGTTAGTCCACCAATTCATTTTTTCCCACTGTAATAGCAGTTACAAATTAAAATATTACACTTATGTGCAGCATTTATTACACACTGGATCTCTAAAATGAAACTTCACAGGACCAAAATAAGCACTGATGAGATAACCCTGATAAAGTATAATGCAATTATTACTGAATTCACAATTTGATGAAGGCACAGTGGAATGTTTGAAAGCAATTTCTTCCTTCTTTTCATACCTCAATCATGAGATTTTCAGTTCTGTAAAGCTCCTATGACCTGTTTCAAAGGCAAATTAGATCTAGTTAAGCAGTACTACTGAAATGCATCTAATTAGTGACTTAATTTGCTCGTAAAAGGAATGAAATATTGCTTGTAGGAACAAGGGCAACTGCTTATATTTTGCTTCTCTGAAAAGTATAGAGGCTAGAGAGATTAACTTTCTCTTTTGATTAAACGCAAGCTGTTTTCCCTGCAAGATTTGCAATCAAAACACTGCATACAGTGTGTTAGTTAGGCGTGTGGGTTCTCAAGCATAAGCTCATTCTAAAAATATATATATATTTTAATATGATAGTGATTGGACCGTTTTCACTCTCCAAACTCCAAAAAAGGCAGCTTACTCTTGGCACAGGCTATAGAAAAGTAGAAATTTATTTTCAAGAACCATTTCTAAGCTAATGAAAACAGTATAAAAGCGCGCTTTTTAAGAGCTCATAGGAACTTTTCCCACTTGCTGTTTGTCTTACTAAAGTTCCTCATGGGTAATATCAACATAACATTGGTTTAAGTGATAAAAGGATCAGGTCTTTAATTCTTAATCCATGATGCCAGCTTAATAAATTACACTGATTTCCTTACAGATAATGACTGAAAATTACAGCAACCTTTTGAAAACAAACGGAGCAATCAATGCATTTTCTCAGAAGCTATTAAGATCGGAGAGCAGCCAAGCAGCTCTCTTCTATCAAACACCCCTTAAAATGAATTAGGGGAAAATGGCCAGAGCACCAAAAGCAGACTTTGATAACTGTTTTCCTCAGGATATAAAACAAAAGACCCAAACTTCAACCTTCTGTCCGGAGAACAATTCAGCAAGCACCCTTTCACCTAACTAAGAGGGCACAGGAGCAGGTTTAAAAACAGGCTCCCTGACTATTCACTCCATCCTCTTTCTTCCCCAAGTTTCACTCTTCAGTAAGATTCGCTATCTTTTCTACTTAAAACTACTCCAAAAGGTTTCCTTCTGCTTAGAAGGACTGACCACCAGGACACAGAAAATGCAACATTACACTAGTGCTGTGCAGGAGCAAGCAACTCTTTCGGCAGAGGCTGTTGCCAATTAAAGCAGTACTTAGTACTCCAAAGTCCATACAAGATTTGAGACCTTAACTAGGAATCTCCTAAAGAGCAGAAGTGGTTGTACTTTTACAGAAAGAATAAGAATGAGACACAGACCTATTGCCCACCTTGTCCAAACTTTATGTAGTAAACAGAGTCCTTGGAACGCCAAAATGAGCATGTTGTCTGGCAGCATCTGGGCTAGGCTAATATTGTCCATACTTGCAACTAGAGGTAAGACAATATTATAACAGGTTATTTTCATAAGCGTATGTTCCAAGTTTATGCAAAGGTTTTTGTTCATGCTTACTGTTTAACAAAGTGCTAATGTTTAAATGTGCTGCTGAAAGTTAAGAATAGCCAAACATATGATGATGCCCGTTCTTGTATTTTATTGTTCAAACCAGCTTTCTTGGATGGATGAGTTACGGCAACCAAGACAATGATAACATGCTTAGGCTAGATTACAGCAGTTTCAGCACTGCCTTTGAAAGAATTCTGGTTGCCATCAGAACAACAAAGATAACCGCATC